GTACACGTTGGAGACACTTAGTACATGGAAACTGGGCTCGAGAGGGCGAGTGATGGCAAGGAGCGATGAAAGCGCGGTAGTGAACATCATCACGATCAAATTTCAAACATATGCCACCCATCGCCTGTCTGTAGTCTCGACCCTCGAAGCTTGGCGTGACGGGTTTCGATCGATTGATGTTGCAACTTAGTACTTCATCCGCCATTACCGGACTTGAGTTGATCTAGTGTTTGGGTTTCTTGCCGTTTTGCAAGCTGTCAAAGCCCCTTTCAACTTCATCTATCCGCTCCGACCTCGTCGTGCCAAGCTCACTTTCGCTTTCACTGATTGGCTACTTCAGTACGAAAACTTTCAATTTCAATTTATCCGGATTTTGGTGTTTTGATTGGGTTTTTTGATGTTCAAATGCAAGGGTGGAATTATTGTCCCGATCTCCATGTAAATCCTGTTGAATTCCAGCAGCTACATCCGTCTCGCCTGCCCGTACATGCTTCTTTCAACGTCTGAAATGCACACAACATAGACGACATTATCGCTACTTTTCGAAGGTTCAATGGCTCCCACAGCAACTGAGATGCTGGGAGACAAAGTCTCGAGGTTCAAACAGGCACATACCAAGGCTATTGTCAGATGAGTTGTTCGAGGAAAGCACTAGTCACGTGCGAAGCACAAGATTCTTATCACTTGCATCTGTACCTCCATGATTGAGCGGTCATTCTCGAACATTCACACACAGCGCACCAAAGTCTCCAAAGAGGCTATTCTTTGAAGTCCTGGCAAGCCAGAATATGCAATGAAAATATATCCGCATCATCTGGAGGTAGTGTGATACAGAGACACGGTGGAAGGTATGAGCAAGCCCAGAGACGTCCTACAAGGGACAAAAATGGCCATAGTTCATAAGAAAATTTGTGTTTAACCTGTTTACAATTATCTCGTCCTACAGGCAGATATCTACTGTCAGCAACACTCGCAAAGTCTTACCTGATTTCCACCTCAAGCCAAGGACCGCAACCACCGCTCAATCACTTCAATTACCACAGGCAATGACAGCAGTACCAATTATTAAGTCATGTAGCGGCATTAATATCTGGGAAGAAGTGAGCAACTGGACTTTAGTTTGAAGGAGAAGAGACTTACTATTCCTCATAGACGAGCGAGCTGCGCAAGACAAACCGAGCTCCGCATTGCCAGCCCGGACTTGCTACCTTGTGCTCCACGTTTTGCAAGAGAGAGGCAGTTCAGTCATACTGAGGCCGTTCAATCATGCTCATAATATCGTGAGGTCGTGAGAAGCTGTGAACGGCATAATGTACCCGCCCTCACTTGGATCATCGGGGAATGCAGTTCAATTCGTTCCGCATCACATCAGCTCCGTACTCCAAAACTTTCCCTGCCAGTAAAACTAGCCTGTGCCTTCGGAAAAACACGCACAACAACCTTACGGCGAGTCACAATGACTGCTCTGTGCCCCGCCAACATGTCCTGAGCCCGTCCGGAACTGCAGTCGCTAGCGCGTCTAGTCACGGAGTGTCTTTCTTCATTCTCACAGGGAGAATGATTTGCCTCTGATGCTTGCAGATATATGGTTTTGATGTACCGATAACTGGAAAAGCGTTAGACAGTTTAAACAATGAGGGGAGGGGATACATTCCGCTTTGCCCGAACGCGGGGAGAATTCCACTTCAGCCGTTCAGGGATTCCTACTCGACTCACTGAGTTGTCAGCGGAAGTGAGAAACAAGAAGAAGAGCAAGCAAGGTTAGGTGGCCAGAGGAAAAGACGACATGCAACAAAAATTCAAGAAGAGAATCGCGTGTGCCAAAATGAGTCTGCTCCGAGCTAGTCAAGCTAAGCGAGGATTTAAGGGGAAGGACCAACGCTCCAAAATTGCCCTGAGCGCACAGGGCAGGAGCGTCCCCAACAAAACTGCTGGATACTCTCTGAGTCGTAAATTCTCAAAATTGGTGATCTCATCAGATTAGGGACTCAAGTCTGCACGCAGAACGGGTCCATCGTGCACACGCTTAACTCCGAAATCGCATGGCGCAAACAAGAAAATCACAGGTAAGGCGTTTCTCGAGCTCGAAACCACGAATAACTTAGATTTATCGTTGGAATGAAGGCAGATGAGGACCGATTAGAAATGAAGACAGGGGGTTTGTCGTTTCGCGACTGTTGATTGGAGGAGTTCTCAACTTTGCATCAGATGCACTGCACCAACACTTCCAAAATCAGCAGCGACGACAAGGTCAAAAACACAACCGGCGACAACAAGATGGAAATAACGATCGGGAAGCTAGCTGGGGTGTTGTACTTTATCGTCTAATGTATTCCCAGTTGTCAAATCTGCGCTAGTGGCGCTGCACAGCCGGCTCAATTGAAAATGAGTTTTTCGAAGGTATGAACTTTTGAGATGTAAGAAGGATGAAGGATCGGAGCCCAGATGAGAGGGGGGACGCTTTCTTATACCTGCAGGTAATGAGCACAGGCCAACACAAGAGTCATCCTTCGTCTTGTTCTCAAAACCACACTAGGATTGGCGAAATCTGTAAGGCGTCAAGAGAAGCACTTTTATCACTCATACAGCCAATATAAGCTTGAAATTTAGAGGCGTAGCGATTTGAATTGTTTCTCTCTCATGCTATCTGAATGTGCGCGTGCAATGGTACCGAGTTCTGCACTCGAGCGCCACTACATCTTTGATGGAAAGCTCAACACCCAACAGCTCCGAACATTCCACCTACTTCTTGGAAGGTCTGATAGGCTTTGGGCCATCAACCCAATCAAAAGTCCCCAGCACATTCGTCAACCACACATCCTGCGGTCCATGCGGAACCTCCTGCTCATCACCCTCATCTCCGAACAGCGTCCCGCTAAGGAAAGTATGCGGGAAGCCAGGGTCGAAATTGTACGCCGCATCAATCTTCGCAACATCCTCTTCTGTCAAGTCGACATTGAGAGCATCAATATTGCCCTTGATATGCTCCACCTTGCGACCACCAACGAGAGGGAACACATAAGGGGCCTTCTGCATCACATAAGCCATCGCGATGCTTGTCAGCGCTGTGCCCTTCTCCTTCGCCAGACCTTCCATGATCTTCGAAACTGCCTTCTCAAGAGAAGTAGGCTTCTTCTTCCGACCAGGGTTGTTCCTCTCCCGCTCCTTGAACGCAGCTTCAGTCTGGAAACGACCCTGTCCCAAGGTGCCATAAGGAAGCAAGCCCATTCCCTCATCCTTGCACATCGGAATGATATCCCGCTCAAAATCGCGGATCGATGCATTCCAGAGACCCTGATAGACGACAAATTGGCGGAGGCCGTGATCGCGGGCATATTGGTTGGCCTTTGAAACAACCCATGCTGGAGTATCGGAGATACCGAGGTAGATGACCTTACCTGAGACGACGAGATCATTGAGGGCATGCATCAGCTCTGGAATCGTAGACGCGTAGTCCCACCAGTGGAGATAGAGGAGATCAATGTATGAAGTCTGTAATCTCTCAAGCGATTTATCGACAGAGATTCGTAGGGACTTCGTGCCATTGCCGCCAAAGTTGGACTGGATCTTTTCCTTCTTGTGCATCTGAAAAGGACTGGAGAATTTCGTCGCAAGAACGATCTCATCGCGGCATTTCCGAGAGGTGAGCCATTCGCCAAGCCATTTCTCGGATTCGCCGTCTTGGTACCCGTTTGCGGTATCGATGAAGTTTCCGCCGAGGGATTTGAAGGTATCGAGGATCTCGAAGGAGGTTTCTTTATTGCATTCCCCCATGCGGGCTTTGTGTGCATCGCCAAAGTTCATGGCTCCGAGGCAGATAGGTGAGACGCGGACATTGGCAGTGGGAGCAAGTTGGCGGTGGCGGAAGAGAGGGGACTCTGGTGGAGGGGGCATCGGGAATGGGGGAGCCATTGTCGATTTTTGAGAAGTGGTATTTTTGAAAGATTGTTTGATGTAGTTTATGCTGTGTAGAAGTTTTAGAAAAATGATTTGAAGGTCAATTGTAGCTGCCAAAGAGGGGAAGAGGAGGTCCTTTTAAGTTCATAGCTCGAGGCGCCGTTGTATCTGCAAAATGGTAGATTCGGGACGCCGCAGCATCACCAATGGATTTTGGCTTCTTAACTCCGCCATCCTGCGTTTGCATTGCTGTTGTATCTTGAACTCTTGTCTCGAAGTTGTGTGACTTTGTGGATGTGTTGATGTGGACGTCGGAAAGAGTCGTGCGAAGGGATGCAGCTTGCTTACGCGCTAGTGATGCCGGTTTCTGCGGGGCTGCCAAGCTTGCATCTGAGTGGTTGGCCCCGCAAAGCTCGGATCCGAACATCTTAAGTCCATGACGTGGCATAAGCAGAATGCAGATTTGACCGTCATTCGAGACTCTCCTGATTTCTACCCTTTTTCAAAGCGAAGTTTAACCGAAGCAATTATTCAAGATAGCAGGATGGCAAGCTGGGGATGAAACCTAAGAAAGCATTTCACCGCGTTAAATCCTAAGTCCGTACGCAGCCAGTGCATTGTCTGCCAAGGCAAAGGAAAGAAAAGTTAACATGGAGCAGAAGCAAGCTAGCAGCTGGTAATCTAAGCTTCCACCCTCTATTCAGGCTGGACTTTCCTCTCGATTCAAAAGATTTGGAGTAGTACTCGACAAGGAGGAAATCCGTCGCTTTCTTCATGGTTTGTCGATGTTAGTATGCTTGTTATACGGTTGTATGGAAACTTCAGGTACTGGATGTTGGATGTCTCTTTCCTCGAATATCATACTGGTGAGCAGTTCTCATGAGGTAGTGCCAATTGATGTGGTCGTTCTCGCCATGAAATCAGAGAAAAGACTGGGCAAAAAAGTGCACAACAAGCAGCAGACCTTTGACTCCCTTCACGAATTCAAAAGACTCGGACAACATTTATTAGACACAACCAAGTCTATTTGAGTTCTCAAGCAAAAGGTTCCCTCACCGCCTTCAGCATGTGGGTCTCGGGAGCAAAGAAATTGCCAAAATAAAAACATACAACAGTGGGTATTCGCTGGTGGTCACCCACCCAACTACTAATCCACCGATAGACTGCTTGTGTATGGCAGAGCGGACGGGATGCCCAATTTTCAGTCTTCTATGGTCGTATGTGGCAGGTCAGTGCACTATTTAAGATTATATACAGTAAAGTTTAAGACGAATCCCCTCATTTAGCGAGCTTGACCCCGCAATCAATCCACTCCTCTTCAAAATTTCTTCTTCGTTGTATCTCTGACCACTTTACCAAATCATGTTAAAAGAGTCTCGCAGGTCTTAGGTCTGCTAATATTTAATCTTTGCCAACCCTTTTTGCTTTTAAAATCAAGATTGGTGTTTTGTTCAGGAACGAAAGCGTGATAAGTTGTGAAGGCAGAAACTCGAATCAATACTTCAAGAAAGTGAACTACTATATTCTATTCAAGAGCTGAGCTTACCACGTGTATCACTGCGTCGAAAAATGAGTGAGCTCAATTCTTTCTCGAGTCACGTGTCGTTTTCCTCCACTTAGAAGTTTCCCATGAACGAGAAAGAGGGAGGACGACGGCATTCTTATACATTTTCCCTTCCCACCGATGTGCAACAAAAGGGTGCAGGCTCTAGAAAGAATATGGATTACTCCTCCAAGTGGAATAATGCAACGGTTTCTTCGGACCGAACCTTGTTCCCGTGCGGCTAGGTCTTTCATCCTAACTCTAAATGGGAAGGAGGCAGGCATGGCATGTAACAGAGGTTCATACTGAATTAAGCGGCGTTGATTGGTTTTGTGGGACTTCGTTCAATAAGTCTAACCCCTATCGCCAGCCAAATACTTCCTTCTTCAGAAACTTCGTCAATGAATCCTGTTTCTTCTCAACTTCCTCGTATAATTTCCTCATCTCCCAGAAGAGAGCCTGAATGCGATCTCGCTCTAGGTTGCTCGGCAAACGTATCTCAGTTCTCTCCACTCCTTGGAGCGTTTCCCGGACCATATTCTGCGCCAATGCAGCATTCATTTCCTTATTTTTCCCTTCAACCCTCTCATACAAATCCTCCAACTCCTCAAACATTGGCAAACAACCCCAAATTCTCCCCACACGCTTCAAAATCCCTCTCCCTTTCCTCAGGACTCATATTCTTCAACCCCACAATAACAAGATCCCGTTCCCGATGCCTTTCATCTCACCAATACTTCAACCAAGCCAACAATGCACCCACACCTGTGCTAAGCAGGAATGCATATACCCGTATCCTCCGAAGCACTTTGTTCTCAATTTCCATCAACTTCTCTATCCCGTCTCTCCCTTCAAGAATTGCTTGGATACTTAGATCGTAAGCTCGAACTGATTGTTTTTTCTCTGCGAGATTCGAGTATTAGAATCGTGAGAATTCGACGGAGCGCCAGTTTTCGAGTTGGTTTACTATTCCTCGAGTCATTGTGCGGAGGACGTTTCGGTTGAGGTCTTCTGCGGAGGGGAGGGGCGGGTTTGTTGGTCCTGTGTAGAACCGATGAGAAGGGCTCGAAAGGAGGAGGTTCTTGCTCCGTGTTGGGGTTCTGCGAGGTCGAAAGGCTCGGGTGAGGGGTAAGTGAGAGCCAGCGAACATGGTGAAGTTGGGAGCTTTAGGTCTGGAACCAGGCGAGAAGACGAAAGTTTGGAGTTTTGGGACCGTGTCGCATACAGAGTCAAAATACAGAACTGAGATTTTAAGGTCGTTGAAAGTTGGGAATGTGATATATCATCCCAGCCACGCCCGGTTTCGCATCCACGAATCAAGAGACACGTCTGTAGCCACGAAACAATGAACTCAGAAAACCAATAATTGCTCGAGGGGCAAGGAGATACATATGTCCAACCTCATGTTCCACCCAACAGGATACCGTCGTAGATGGTCTACGACCTCAGTACGAATATCAAACTCTTGCCTGATCCCTTCCTTGATTCTCTGCCTCCTCCACTTCTCTCGCATTCTTCATGTCTTCAGCCTCTTTCCAAATAGTCTGCCACCAGAACCCCAGCAACGCAATATTGATCTGCCATGGCAAAGTGATGACGAAAATCAACCCCCAAACCCAAAGTCCCTTCGGTACACCCTTTCTATGTATCGTTTCCAAAAGCTCTGCCGCATCGTCTCGGATCTCAGCTAGCATTCTAATGTTCATCCTTCTGTCTTGTTCTGTGTCTACGGGTTCGAAATTGGAGAGCTGGTCGCGGAATATATCCAACCGGTTTAGCAGATCTCGGGAGAGATCGAAGCTTTGATGAAAATATCTTGGCTTGATCTTCTTGTAGGGCATTTCTGGAGTGTGGTGGGAGAGGCTGCGATATTGCAGTGTTGTCGCGATGATTGCGAGTCTTGGTGAAGGACTGCGAGTTCGCAGAGCTCCAATGAGAGGAGTGAGTGGGAGACGTGAGCTGGATGTCCACATCGTGGTTCGTGGTTCGTGGTTCGTAGTTCGTAGTTTTGAGGTGGAGGACGTCGGTGCCAATGCGTTGAATTTTGAAGGTAGGGAGTATTTCGAGAGACGACTTTAGTATTCAAGAGATCGGAATGCGATTTATTTGAAAAAGAAAAAAGAAAAAGCAGCTTTTGGCCTTGAGAGGAGATGGAATGTGATACATCGTAAGAAGGCGTATTTAATCCTCGGGCTACAGGTTAGGGGCAAGAGAAAACAAACAAAGCAAAAAAGTCTTGTAAACTAGCAGTTCTAGAATACTGAAGATATGGAAAAGGTAATAAGACTTAAAAAAATATGCAATAAATTTGTTTCATTGTTGTGCACAGCGGCAGAGTCCTACCCGCCTGGAAAGTCTCTGGCTCCCCTGAAATTGGGGCAATCTCCACTGGATATACAGGGGCTAGATCGACTGTATTCGCTGTGCTGTGAACGACGGGTCTCCATTGTCATCACTGGATGCCACAATCCCCCAACTGCTTCCTTCACGCTCAAAGTATCGTGCAATACATCCCATAATTACACACGCGACAATGCACACAAATCCTATATCTCCAATTTCAACTTTGCTTTTGAACAACTCAATCAACGCTGTAAGGACTCGCCACATTCCAGTCCACCTTCCCGTCACCATCGTCTTCCTCATCCTGAGCGCTGTCCACACCATTCACACCCTTTTTCCCTACAGCCTTCGCCGAAAGGTAATCCATAGCTCTCAACCCCACCGCATCATGAGGACCCGCCCTTCCTCTTCCACCACTGCCAGTGATCCTGTTACGTTTCGGTGTCGCCATTGAGCCGTTGATGCTTTCTTCTTGGGCTGGTGGTGTCGATGGGGCATCTGTATTCTCTTCCATATCAAGGATCTCAGGCCTTTCTCCATTAAGGAACGTCTCAGGAGTACGATATCGGATTTATGATCGCGCGAGCCATTCTGAGACTCTGTTGGTGCGGCGTTAGCTTCGTCTTCTCGCTTTTGTTCGAATGGGACAGCGTCCTGAGCTGATGAAGCTGACCTCTGAGTTTTATCCGGTGTCTTCGGATCCGGCACCAGTGTAGAAGAGGCTTCATCTCCGTCTTCATCCTCTTGAGCAACAGGTCCGCTGCCCTCAATACCCACAGGCCTCGGTTTGATAGGCACATCTAAATCTTCCGCTTTTGGTATTGTTGTACCAGATTGAGGAACTGCCTCTTGAATATGCTCCAATCTCTCCATCCTACGACCCGAACTCGATACTACACTCAGATTGTCAACAATGACGACCATCCACACCCCAACATTGTCTTTGCCGTCAAACAACGGCGTGGCAGAAATCCAACAGATCTCTCCGTGCATACTCGGATTGTTGTCTTTATCGTTCCATTTGCCAGTGACTGTGCCCTGCCTGTTGGTACTAGCTTGTCTCATTATGGCAACCCTTCCTGTGACAGGCGTACCGGACTGAAAGCACTCTCTCAATCCTGATAGTGTTGACGGTGGAGCAGCGATATATGCTAGGAGAGGTTTTTGTTGAAGCTTCCCTAGCTTTCGAACCGATTCGGAGACGAAGATTGTTCGAAATGAGGGATAGGGCCTGACAAGAAGGTACTTCTTGTAAATGCCCGGTGGTTTGCCGGTCTTGGCGTTTTGCGAAAGCGTCCATTCCGGAGATGCGCTTTCGTTGTCGTCTCCAGAGTCATCACTCTCATCTGCTGCCCTCTCATCATCATCTTGAAGACGCCTTCTCGCTGCAGGTCCTTTCTTGGGTATTTCTTCCTCCACCCTGGAGGAGACAGAATTTCGCCGACTCTGAATCTGCACAACAGCACTTTCCTCGAGATCAAATGTCATGCTCAGGTCCCTTAACTTCGCCAGCGTCACTTGCTTGGGCTCTTGGATATCCTCTTTCTTTCGTTGGCTCTCCATCTCCTTCTTGACAAGGCACCTCTCCAGCCCATCAACACCTCTTCCGCCCTCGACCAATCGACTCGCATCGACCTGCGCGCCTAGGTAATACTTCAAATTGCCCTTGCCATCGTGCAAAGGAGCTATCATTAACACATTGACAAATGGTCTTCCATCCCTTCTGTAGTTCAACAACGTTTCGCAGATCCCCTTCCCATTTCTTATCGATTTCCTCAGTCTTGATACACTGCCACTCTTGGCGTTCGAGCCTTGTAAGAATCGACAGTTGTACCCGATGACATTATCTCGTCCGTAGCCAGTAAGGCGGTAGAATTCTTCGGAGGCATAGATAATCGGGTTGTCTTGTTGATTAGGATCAGTGATGCAGAAGACCTCGCTGAGGCCGCCAACCAGGTCTTTTGTCAAGGGCGTGGCTTGATTCGTAATCTCAGCGATGAGGCAGGATGTCGATGTCTTGGCGAGATTTTATGTTACCCACGCAGGAAGGGCCGTATCAAGTAGAGTGTTGAATGCATGCTGCGACAACTCGCGGAAAGAAGTCGAGAGCTCGGCTGCTGGAGGTCGACTGTCTTCGTCGGTGGGAAGTGTTTTCGCAACCGCATTGGCATATGAGACAGCCTTGATGACCTTCTGTGCTTCGATATACTGAAGGACGAGAGGTGCAATCGATGGTTCGTATCGTGAGAGGAAGGAGCTGAATCTTGCAAGGAGTTGAGGGTCAGTAGTGAGGGTTCGGAGGTATTCTTCAGAAAACAAGACTCCTGCAAGTG